ATATAGGTCTACATAAATCACGCAAACAAAATTAATAACTCATATTATGGAATCGGAATATTAGAAACCTACATAAGAGGAAGAATGTATTAATGAACGAATAATATGTACTAAGATGGCCAGTTAATATGGTTTTAAAAAGGATTCATGTTTTTTGTCCTACTACTATCCATAAATCCCACATGAGAAAAATACAAGTCACACCCCCATAAACCATATACTTAAAATGTTTGTCATTACGAGAAACCTTGCGCAAAACTATCCATTATGCCATAAATTGCCCTTTAAGGTCACAATTCCTTTCTAAAGGGAACACTTATATACCTAATGTTAAAAATACCTCAGCTGTACTTATTTGTTTGTTAATATTTTAATTTATTACCTTATTAAATTTAGGTGTTATTATTTGTTTGTATTACTGTATTATGTTTTGCTAATTTCTGTTTAACTTAACCAACCAATATTTTTATTAATACTTATGAAGTCAAACGGGATGAAGCCCGTGTGTTACAGCTAGTTGTGTTAATATAGATTGTGTGGTTCATAATCATATACTCAAATCATAAAAAAGTAGAAGTACCTATTTGAAAATATTTGCATAAAAACAAATCAAATAACTATAAAATAATGATAGGGTCTTCTACGTACGCACTGTGGCGTCAGAGGATGCGATAGCAGAAAGATTTCGCTTTTTCGTAAAAGCACAGAAAACATTCTACGCAAAAGTTTCCCAATCTCATCCATGTTTATTATAGGTAGCTACGGCTTTTGCCACTCGAGTGTTCTACCGTTGACTTTAAATCCTTAACGGTTCTACCATAAGCTTCACCGCTATTAGGTACTAGGCTTCACCGCTACATGTATATCCCTATTCGCATGCCCTCTCCTTAATGTTTAATCCTCCTAGGCTAGACTCTTAAGAAACCTCGACATTTTGATCACTTCAGACAAGAATCTTCATCACCCCCAGAGAAACGCTACAAACATGTTTTGGTAATATTCCCATGCTTCCCACGTTATTTAAAAATGTGCAATTTGAACTAAATTGCTATATACTGTATATATAAAAATAAAGGGCGATGTAGAGCGCTGATAAATGGATACAATTTATATAATAGCAACTGCCGGTTTTGTTTAGTAGATTTGTACATTTTGTGTATTTTATTTATATTTGTTTCTATCACATACTAGAAGAGATTGTAATTAAAAACGTAGTACAGTTATTTTATTACGTATTGCTAAAATGCCGTAATGCCGTATTGCTGTACCGTTAAATACTGTACTCTTCACCTTCAGCACCCGCTCGTCCTGAAACCACCCCCTCGTCCCCCTCCCCTCCACCGATAACTGATCACACAAACCAAAGGTGATGATGACTCTCCTACTAGTTGGTATTATAGTACCTTTTACAATAAGGTTTCTATACACCTAGAAACTATCTTGTAAGATTTATTAATTGGTAAGATTGTCGCTAGATGTACAGAAAAAACTTACTGTACATGCTTGTTGGTACTAGTGTATTGTCTTAAAACCCATATTTAGTATTATTTTTAGTAATACTTCTTATGCTACAAAGTGTCAATTTATTACAGTAAAACAAATATAATCAACAACAATATTTTAAGAGTCCTTGGAGGCTAGCGGCCATCTTGGATAGTTTTAAACAGCTGCTGTAGAGTTAATGATCCAAAAATAGTTTTTCAAACACCAAAGTGATCATTTAAATATCCTCAATACTATGACATTAAAAATTGTCTTGTTTGTTTTGAATTGATTTTCAAGGGAGATCATGGAAGCAAACTGCCATATTAGATTTTCCCGCAATAAGAGCAATGTTAAATGCGTTATTTTTAAATAGCCACTGAAGAGTTATTTACCACCTCAAAATATGTTTTCAAATACCAAAGTGATTGTAATTTAAATATACAGCACCCTGTTAAATGGAAAATTTCCTAAATTGTTTTATGAATCAGAACGTCTAGGCTCCAAGGACTACTAGGCCAATGAAATGTAAAAGTGGAGCGTTTCTACTGTCTTATATTCCGAGTGTAGCCGCGATGTCAAACTGTATGTTGACTCGTCCCTATCATTGTTTGAAGCACGTCCAAGTATGCCGGTGTCAGAATTGGTGCTGTTGTCCGTTCAACGGTATAATGTACAGTACGGTCTCAAATATGCCTTTTAAAATACGTCAATTAATTAGTTTTAACTTGTATACACGTTTTATCAATGTATAATTGACATTATATAAATATAAAAACATCATTTCGCACCGTATTGTCATTGATTTGTGTTTCCGACATCCCTGCAAAACACGTTTGTGGCGTCCGCAGGCGTACCAACCCACATCTATTACAAACCGAAACTTTTCCTGACGCAAATTCCTATCAACCATATATATTTGGCCTTATAGCTTCGTAATTCACTGGACTGCCGCAATCATACTCATACTGATTATTCTAAACATTGTATATTACCATTAGAATACCTCAAAATTGATGTGACAGGCTTAGGGAAAAGATTGTGCACTTTTCCTGACGCAAATTCCTATCAACCATATATATTTTGCCTTATAGCTTCGTAATTCACTGGACTGCCGCAATCATACTCACACTGATTATTCTATACATTGTATAGTAGCATTAGAATACCTCAAAGTTGATGTGATGGGCTTAGGAAAAAGATTGTGCACTTTTCCTGATGCGAGTTCCTATCAACCATATACATTTTGCCATATAACTTCGTAATTCACTGGACTGCCGCAATCATACTCATACTGATTATTCTAAACATTGTATATTACCATTAGAATACCTCAAAGTTGATGTGATGGGCTTAGGAAAAAGATTGTGCACTTTTCCTGACGCAAATTCCTATCAACCATATAGATTTTGCCTTATAGCTTCGTAATTCACTGGACTGCTGCAATCATACTCATACTGATTATTATATACATTGTATATTAGCATTAGAATTCATCAAAGTTGATGTGATGGGCTTAGGAAAAAGATTGTGCACTTTTCCTGATGCGAGTTCCTATCAACCATATACATTTTGCCATATAACTTCGTAATTTACTGGACTGCCGCAATCATACTCATACTGATTATTCTAAACATTGTATATTACCATTAGAATACCTCAAAGTTGATGTGATGGGCTTAGGAAAAAGATTGTGCACTTTTCCTGACGCAAATTCCTATCAACCATATGGATTTTGCCTTATAGCTTCGTAATTCACTGGACTGCCGCAATCATACTCATACTGATTATTCTATACATTGTATATTAGCATTAGAATACCTCAAAGTTGATGTGATGGGCTTAGGAAAAAGATTGTGCACTTTTCCTGATGCGAGTTCCTATCAACCATATACATTTTGCCATATAACTTCGTAATTCACTGGACTGCCGCAATCATACTCATACTTGATATTCTAAACATTGTATATTACCATTAGAATACCTCAAAGTTGATGTGATGGGCTTAGGAAAAAGATTGTGCACTTTTCCTGACGCAAATTCCTATCAACCATATAGATTTTGCCTTATAGCTTCGTAATTCACTGGACTGCCGCAATCATACTCATACTGATTATTCTATACATTGTATATTCGCATTAGAATACATCAAAGTTGATGTGATGGGCTTAGGAAAAAGATTGTGCACTTTTCCTGATGCGAGTTCCTATCAACCATATACATTTTGCCATATAACTTCGTAATTCACTGGACTGCCGCAATCATACTCATACTGATTATTCTATACATTGTATATTAGCATTAGAATACCTTAAAGTTGATGTGATGGGCTTAGGAAAAAGATTGTGCACTTTTCCTGACGCAAATTCCTATCAACCATATAGATTTTGCCATATAACTTCGTAATTCACTGGACTGCCGCAATCATACTCATACTGATTATTCTAAACATTGTATATTACCATTAGAATACATCAAAGTTGATGTGATGGGCTTAGGAAAAAATTGTGCACTTTTTCCTGATGCGAGTTCCTATCAACCATGTACATTTTGCCATATAACTTCGTAATTTACTGGACTGCCTCAATCATATTTATACTGAGTGTTCTACACATTGTATATTACCATTAGAATACCTCAAAGTTGATGTGATGGGCTTAGGAAAAAGATTGTGCACTTTTCCTGATGCGAGTTCCTATCAACCATATACATTTTGTCATATAACTTTGTAATTCACTGGACTGCCGCAATCATACTCATACTGATTATTCTAAACATTGTATATTACCATTAGAATACCTCAAAGTTGATGTGATGGGCTTAGGAAAAAGATTGTGCACTTTTCCTGACGCAAATTCCTATCAACCATATAGATTTTGCCTTATAGCTTCGTAATTCACTGGACTGCCGCAATCATATGTATACTGAGTATTCTACACATTGTATATTACCATTAGAATACATCAAAGTTGATGTGATGGACTAAGGAAAAAGATTGTGCACTTTTTCCTGATGCGAGTTCCTATCAACCATATAGATTTTGCCTTATAGCTTCGTAATTCACTGGACTGCCTCAATCATATTTATACTGAGTATTCTACACATTGTGTATTACCATTAGAATAGCTCAAAGTTGATGTGATGGGCTTGGGAAAAAAGATTATGCACTTTTTATGTTCGGAGTTTTAATTGATCGCGTTATGTTAAGCCTTAGCTACGTATAATGTACAGTACGGTTTTAAATATGCCTTTTAAAATACGTCAATTAATTAGTTTTAACTTGTATACACGTTTTATCAATGTATTATTGACATTATATAAATATAAAAACATCATTTCGCATCGTATTGTCATTGATTTGTGTTTCCGACATCCCTGCAAAACACGTTTGTGGCGTCCGCAGGCGTAACAACCCACATCTATTACAAACCGAAAAAGCGCCGATGAAAAGAGCCGCTAACTTCACGACGGTTTGTCGACTGCCGTTCGGTTTTCTTTTTCTTATGTTCCTCACTGTCAGCCAAACGTCAAATTCAGTGTAATACATAAAAACTAGCCTTTTTTGAAAAATAGTTTACGAAATACATTACATTGTTAATAAACACGACCTCTTGAACTTAGTAAAAAAAATAATTTAATTTCAATTTGCAGATTATCATACATTGATATAAGAACAATGAACGAATAGCAATTGCTGTCACATTCATAATATCCTATTGAACAGATTAGGCCTAGTGTGAGTGAGTAGTGAATTTTGTGATCTGTTTATTTTGTACTGTTTTGTTCTGCTATGTTGCGATGGTATTATTTGACTAACAGGCCTTAAATAATTCTCCAAACATGAATTCTACTACTTCTAGTGTCAATAGTAGTTTAAAGAAACTTGAATATGTCAAACGACAAGAACAGCTTAGATCACTTGGAAATCCAAAAAACACACCAAAGGTATGTTGTGGTACTACTTAGTAACTTATGTAGGCCTAAAGTTAGGCTAGGTATTGGTATAATTACATCGTATTATCATCAGAACTAAAGTTGTTTCATACAATTTTTAAAGGAATGGTCTGGATCCTTGCCTTTGTCAAACACTGTGTAAGTAGCCCAATACTGACATTAGGAGGATAAAGGATAACTTAGTGATTGGTAGGCCTACATTTCTTGTTCCACTTGAGTAAATTGGGAATCTATATAACCGACTCCATTATTATTTACAAAAACATCAATTGATATTTACATATAGCCTAAGTTAGGCACTTATTTACTTCTAATAGGAATACGGTAAGTTAAACCATAGATAAAACATACTCTCTTAGTAGATTTCTCATCCTAATGGAACAGCTGAAGACAATTTTATTGTTAGTTCTGTACGGTTTATGTAGAGGTCGTGTTTTGTTTACAATTTGTTTCCCATTAATACAGTCATTTAAAACCTCGCTTAACCAAATAATACGATCTAATCATAAACAATAAATTGTCCCCTAGTTATTTAACCAAACAGTAAAGCACAAATCAAGAAATTAACCCTAAAATAAAAGAAACAAAATTTCGTCGACACTAGCGCACAAAGTGGCGTACATGAACTAGACATGAAAAACGAGCTTCAAAATTTACAAAGGGATGAGAAGTCTACTTGTGTTGGTTAGTCTATGGTTAAACTTAGGCCTTATACTTTCATATTAGAGTAGGCTCTAACTAGGCTACTGTAGGTCTTAATGTTTACTGGCAAGAGTATTGACGCTATCTATCCGACAGTGTCGGTCAAGGATAAAGACTTCTAAGTAGTAAGTATCACAAGTGTCACATAATCTTCTGCATGGAAAGTTGAGGAGTTTAGGAGTAGGTAGCGTGGCACTGAGGATGATCGACTCCTATCTGGCGGGAAGACAGCAGGTGGTCTCTGTTGAGGGTGCAACATCTAAGCCCAAAAGTGTCAGGTGCGGTGTTCCTTAGGGATCGATTGTAGGCCCGTTACTATTCCTTGTAATGATCAACGACCTTGATAGAGATGGAGGGGTGGTGCTTTTTGCCGACAATACAACCCTGGTGTCACGGACACCCCAAGTTGAGCTGTCCACAGCAGATGCAAACCGGCATCTCACTGAAGTATCCCGCTGGTTTGAAGAAAATGGTTTCCAGCTCAACCAGGATAAAACCCAGGCACTGGTCTGCAGTCTGGCGAGAAATGCCCCACGGGATGAGCCAGTGAAGCTCCTTGGATTTCATCTGGATAGGAAGTTGGCGTGGAACGATCACATCAGCAAAGTTAGTAGCAAACTTTTTAGGGTATGTTGCCTGCTGCTCAAGCTACGAAATTTCATCACTCAGCCATACCTGCTGAACATCTACCATGCTATGTTCCACTGCCATGTGAGCTACGGCCTACTGCTATGGGGTCATGCTGCGGATGTTGAGGACATTTTAGTGCTGCAAAAACGTGCTGTAAGACTCATTACTTTTAGTGACCGCATTGCCCACTGTAAACCCATCTTCGCAAGATTGGGAATTCTCACAGTTTACAGCCATTATATCCTGGCATGCTCACTACTGGTATATGACAATTACGACAATCTCCAACTCCGTTCAGCATTTCACAACCACCAAACAAGGCAGCACGAGCTACTGGATGTGCCTAGGGTTGACTTGCAAGATCGCAAAGGAGTGGCAATTCAAATTTTTAATAAGCTGCCTCACTCATTCAAGCGTCCTGGGCGTAAACTTTTTATGAAGAAGCTTGTCCCTCTCCTTAAGTCAAGAGCGTACTACTCACTAAAGGATTTTTTTGAGGATAGATTTCCTGAATTTTCTGACTAAACCGCATATCCACATGCCAAAGTTTTTGTAAATATTTATTTTTGTATCTACTCGAATCAGTTGTTTTTAAATGTATTTAAAAATTCTGACACCATCAATCCCTTATTGGGTTAAAGATGAAGACATGGTAATAAGGTAATAAGTATTTAAAAAAGTAAAAATGTCCCATGTCACTAAAATTGTGATTCCTGGGTTGGCTAATTAGGCTAACTTATATATTAATTTTAGACGTTGTCACGTTAAATTAGTACCTATTTTTCCTCTATTACGATGCTAAATAATGTCCAGAGTTAAAAATGACTGTCACTTTTCCCGGAAAAATCAATTAAAAACGAGAAAATATATAAAAAAACACAGGAAACTTAGGCCTACCTACTTGAATTGTGCGGAATTTGACGCTTAATGTTAATATTAATCATTTTTCCATGCTTAAATAAGTTACCAAACGTGCTTAGTGGGTAAAATGTTTTAAAAATTAGGTTCCGGGTTAAGCATGTTGTGCAAGCATTTTTGAAATTGTTTTGTTGTTTATCCTACTAGCCTATTTCAATAGCACAAAAACAGCATAAATCAAAAACTCGGTTGACTAACTGCACTTTACCATAGACAAGTAGAATAAATATAGACGATCAAAGGAAGGTTGCGGGATGTGCCGCTAGAGTGCTCAGTGTTCGATTCGCTGCCGTCGTCCAACTCCTCGCCGTATCCTAACCAGCAGAAGCTGCTGTGGTGTGCGCCATAACTACACGGCACTTCTAGCGGTGTACGCCAGAACTTATGCTAAACGTAGCACTGCTGTCGGTCTATATTTAATTCTTTTTGTCTATGACCTTACTTTCCTAATCTAACCTAACTCTAAAACACTTAATGCAGCCACGAACCAGCATAAAGTCCTACCTTCCACATGCCTAAATAAGATCAGAGCTCAATTCGTGATTTTAGATGCGTTTGAAGATATTAAAACAGAAGGATAGGCATATGGATTGTAAAAGAAAACAAATGGCGTAGGCCTAATTGGCTCTAATGTAAGTAAACAATCTTAACATTATGGTGCTATCGTTATATTTTTTCTATCAAATGATGTTTTCATTTCAATAATAAGTTACCGGTAAGCTTTTTTTATATTCGAGTTAGGCCTAGTGACTATTTTACGTTTATTATCCTTGCCGTTTCACCTCCTTTTTCGATGAGAGTGCATTTAATTTTAAACTTAGTTGCATGGGAAAATAATTTATTAGGCTACATATTCACATTTAAAATAAAATTCTGCATAAGTTAGGCCTAATTCAAATATTTAAATTGTTTGCTATTAGAAAATATTTACTGTATGTTTTTTTTTCAAATTTTCCTTATTTACTTTACTTTTCCGTGGTAAACGACAGTCACTTTTGAATTCAGGATGTTATTTACCATCATATTATAGGAAATAATACTATTTTAATATGACGTCTGTGATCGATATAATTACTGATTCTTGAAGTAGGCATATGAAATTGTGTTAATACAAAAATATGAAAGGAAGTAACCAAGTTACAAAAATTTTAAGTATTTGAAGCAGGGGGGATTAATGTTGCTGCAAGTTTGTTTTGTTTCTGCCGATAAAATTGCTGGCTATAACTACCAAGAACATCGGAATATAAAATGCCAGATTATCGAGGGAGAACTGCTGCTATTTAATGGATCTAATCTAGACCTAGATGTCCTTGCTCATTGGGCATTTTTCAATTGTCCTCAGAGATAATAGCGTAAACATCTGGTCTTAGTCAGTAGCATAAATTGTAAAGGATTTCCCCATCCTGCACTCTCATTTTTCATTCATATTTGAGTTAAAACATGGACTAGTTGCATCCCCATATCTTAAAGAATGAGTTGACCGCAGTGGCGTACTGTCACAGTTGGGGGCCTGGGGCGGCTTAGATGAGGGGGGCCTTTTTACATATATATATATATATATATATATATTACTAAGCAAATCAAAATACCACAGTACCCTAAAAACATTTTATTTTATATTACTTACATGTTTCGGACATTAATGCCATGATCACAGTATAGTATCTAGCCTATTAGTTTCTTTTATTTACAAACATTATTAGATATTTCTTATTAAAGAACAGGTGATAATTTTTTTATGTTAAGGGAAGGAGGTGTTTTCTTTAAGATGTATAATTTCATTGAATATTACGTTTTGATTTTGAATTTGTGTCAAGTTTAGTAAATTGTCTTTGTCATTAATATGATGAGTATAAATATAAAAGTCTTCTTTTGTATTCATTTTTTCACCTTTATTTTCAACATCCAGAATGTGCATATTTTTATTCATTTCTGAGTATGTATGGTCGGTCTGAAGTATATGTTCGGCGTATGAGGATTTTTGTGTTGTCATATTGTTTGATCTGATTGCCTGTATATGCTCTTTGTACCTGACTTCGAATGTTCGACCTGTTTGACCAATATAGTATTTTTCACAGTTGTTACATGATAATTTGTAAATTCCTGATTTCTTATATACATTTGGTGGGTTGGGTCTCGGATTTGTTATTAATGTAAATGTGTAATTGTATGTTATTGGCAAAATCGTTAACACAAAACTGAATAGAAAATTAACAAAATAAGCCTTGGTCACGACAAATTCGTAGTTGAGTCCCCTGCAGTCGTGGTGAAAGTGAAATCGTTGGCATCTTCCACAATCATAAAGGAATCATGAACGTATTCTACGTCCACGGTGAAGTAATGAACCTCTTGAGCCATCGCGAGGACATCATCATCGTCTCCCAATATCGCGGCGAAATCATGAACGTTGTCTGTGGCCTTGGAGCAATCATGTGCGGTTGCGAGACCTGATAATTGTCACCCGCGATTGTTGGGAGTCGTGTTTTCAATAGCTCAATCTTTGCAGGCACTTTCGGTGTTCATGAGAACATAAGTTTGAAGTTGTAATTCTAACAGATAATTGCCAAAATTTATTTTCCAAGAGAAAAACCATTCTTTTGAGGCCCCAAGAGAGACCCCTTTCTAGCTCGAGCCTCGGCCGACTCGGCGATTGCCGGGTCAGCCGTTAGGGGAATACGGCCCTGATTTGGGGGACTATGTTGGTGTGTGGCCTAAGGCGGACCCCCCCCTTCGGTACACCTTTGGTTAATTGGTCAATTTATGGAATTCTTAGATTTATTTACATCTTTTATATTCAATTCTTGTTAAGTTTGTCATACATTTATTGTATCCTAAACATGCGGTATTATGCATGTTATTCGTATAACATAATCCGTTTTTAAACTCCGCTTTGTTATATGCTATGTAATCAGATGAAATGGTGTTGACCGTTAATTAAATAAATAAATAACATCCAAGTACATACTGAACTATACTACCGTTACAAAAGACACAGTAGCCTACCTATCTAATTTTAGTATTTAATTAAATTTTTAAGTATTTTATCATTTATTTACTTAAATACTTTGGTGTTTTCCAAATACAGTAGTTAGTCAATCAATTATTGATTGTGACTATACATATATTTCTTATTTTTCAGCCTCTTAGTGCAGATAGTATGATTGAGGATTTACTTTCTAAAAAAGAAACATTCCAGAAACGCGCCTCTGGATCTCAGCCAAAACAGGTATATGCTTAGGCTACATTTTGTAATTTCATTGTGACAGCGATGCCTTCATGGTTGGATATACAAAGAGCCCTGTACGCCTATATTATTGTCTACATTGGGGTGTGCATACACAGTTCAAAAAATTGCACACACCACGGTTGAGCAGTTGTACATGTAGGTTTGAGTGAAAAGGCAGTATAATGTAAACACCCTTTTTGTTAAATTGGCAAGAAGAAAAGGCATACCTATACATAAATATAAATAAATATATATAGGTATATACATAAGATATATATATAAAGGAATATACATTGTTTATCTTTTTCATGAATTGAAAAAAACTTTTGAAACATTTTTGTTTTGCAAAAAAAGTAGGCTACATTTAAAAGTTGGGATAAAAACCCTCTCACTGGTAAATTTTCTCATAGTTGATTGGGTCTGGTTCACCAACTTATTCAAATACACCTAGGCAGGCCTGTATAAAATATTTTACTAAAATTTCATCAAAATTTGATAACTTTCATAGATGTAATAGTTGTTCTTGCATTTGTAAGAGTTTTTACCAAGCATAATGTTTTAAGCGAGGGACTCCAAAATGAAATGACAGTGGTACTGGATCTAGGCTATTTCGTCGTCCGAATTCGCGATTTACTATTTGTGATATCACGGAGAATGTCTGTAATGAAATTCAAAGACATCTAAGATTTATTTCAACCCAAGAAAAGACCTCGTGGTCAAACAAAACAACAAACGAAACTTGATTACGTTTAAAATAATCCAATGTGGCAATAAATGTAAATAAGTACTGAAAACAATACAGTTTTTCGGAAATAGATAAAAACCAGTCCCTTAGCAAAATGTTATTTTAAAAGATTTAGGTTTAAAAACTAATAGGCCTAATCAACAACAAATCTGGAAGAAAATTTTGAGCCAACTGTCTTTCAAGTCCTGCCCCCAATTGAGGAACCAGATCTTCACCGTTTCCTATCAGATGTTGAAGAGATCGCCCCAAATAGGGGCCTGCCAGCAACATCTACACATCAGCAGATTGCACAAGGTATTCCTCCCTCTGGTGTTGGTGTTGTGAGTGTAGTGAAAAAGCAGAGCAGTGAAAGTGAAGTGGTCTTTAGTATTTGTGAAAATAGTAGTAATAAAGATGGCGATTCTAGTAATCTACATGGTTTCTTAAAAACTGACACACCGGCTGATCCTTTAAACTACTTACTCCAGAGATCGCAAATGATAAGGTGATAAGTCCTTCTGTTAAACACAAAGGGGAACTAAAATTATTTCATCAAAACATTAGGAACTTACAAAATGGTATTGATCCTTTGCAAATAACTTTAGAGGAGATACAACCTCATGTTATAGTTTTATCGGAAATTGATATGAAAGAATGTGAACTAGATAGATTAAATATTAAAAACTGTTGATTCTTTCTTTTGTAGAACAAAATTTAAAAATGGAGGTGTCTTGATCTTGGGTAAAAGTGGGCTGAAGGGTCAACCGGTGGTTTTTCCTCACCGCTTGTTAAGATGATAGATAGATACAATAGACACAATAGATTTCAATGTGTGGAAATTACTCATATTTCACAAAAGAATAGAGTTTATAAAATTGTATCTGATCTTCAGCCAGTGAAGTATGGAGTACCCCAGGGTTCCATATTAGGTCCTCTTTTATTCATTTGTTATTTGAAAAATATAGAATCAACATTAACTAATATCCAAAGTAGTCGATGTCTATATGCTGATGACTCAAATTTAAAAATATCTGGGAAAACCACGGAACAAATTGAACTTATCTCAAATATTGAATGGGAAAACATAGAAAATTATTTTAACCAATTAAACCTTAAATTGAACATCAATAAAACAAATTTTGTATTTTTTAGAATTTTCTTTTAGTCTTTGAGGGTCAAATTTTAGAAAGAAAAAATACTACAAATTTTCTTGGATTGAAGATTGATGAAACCCTGAGTTGAAATGATCACATAAAAGGGGTACTTTCCAAAATCAATTCAGGGATACATGCTCTTTCAAAAATCTCATGCCTTTGTAATACTGAAACTTTAAGGGTAATTTATTTTTCATTCATTCATTCACACATATCATTCGGTTTATGCGCTATGGTTCTGCGAACAAAACTTCTTTAGATATGATTTTAAGAAGCCAAAAAAAACCTATCAGAAAGATGTTGAAATTGCAAAAAGATGAATCTGTTGAAGAACACTTTAAGGGGCGGTTTGGGAGCTCGGTATTAGCGCTAGTCCGCGACTAAATCCGGATATTTCCGGTATTTTAGGCTGCCGCCTCGAAAACGGGTTTGTGAGCTGGGGATCAGTAAGGCGCGCGCCTAACTTGTGCAGGGATAATCTCGCGCCTAAATATTGTTGGTTTGGGAGTCAAGTAGACTTAGGCGCCAGCCTAAGAGATGGTCTCGGTGGGTTTGGGAGACCAATTTCGGGACTAACAGATATGTTTTCGTCATAAAAATCAGTGAGTTTAGTCCCCAACTTTAGTCCTGCCAGGGGGCAGGTCTAAGTCGACATCATGCCGGTATTAGCTCATTAGCAAGTTAATTGTTTACATATTAAGTAAAAGAATGTTATATTGGAATTCGTTATTAAATTCCGAACAATTTCATTACCCTCAAAGTATATTTGATAAAAGTTTTTTTTTAGGTTTCTGTTGTTCAAAATAAAAAAAATCTCGCGGGAAGTAATTTAACGAAATATTATTTTGTTTTTGTTTTTACTGTTAACTTCAATAAAAAATATGGAGCCTGAATAGAATTTATTTCAACTGAGAGTTTGGTTATAAGCACCCTACCTTAATTATAAATATTTTATTAGCTAGGAAAAAATTAGCAACCGCATATACATACCCCCCCCCCCCCCCCACTCACCCCCTACGAAAGAGTGAAGAGATAATAAACAAAACATAAAAAACTGCAAATAGCTCACAGTCATAATCGTTTTCTTTTTATTGCGTTGTGATTGAGCTCAGTTCAGTGTCATTGACTAGTGCAGTTATATCTAAATGTAGTGTACCTAGATTATTTGGGGTATAAGAAAATATATATACAGTATATCAATAATCCCGCAACAGAAAACCTACAGACTAAGTGAATATCCAATAACCTAATATTACTTTCAATTAAATTTATTTAAATAGCTTTATGTTTAACAAGTAACTAACACTACCTACGTGTACGTATGCTACTACAGGGAGGGCAATAAAGTGTGTTTGTTACAAAAATATTAAGAGCTTTATTTAAAATAAATAAATTTGTCAAGTTTCATCAAAATATATCTATAAACTACAAAACTGCAACAGTAATTTATTCTCCATGAGAATCACTTATTATCACTTATAATCACATAGGAATTTTAAATTTAAGATTTTTTTAAAATTCTCTGTAGCCAATAACCGTACAATACATTTTAAGATACTAATTCGTTTTTTATACTCTTTTAAAATATTTTAAAGATAAAGATTTATGTTTTAGGGGTTAAAATTGAGAAAAAATAAATTTTTATCAAATGAAACCCCGGGTTCCCATGGTCTGATCATGCCGGTTCGCGAACTCATTATAGGTTTATCGCACCTAACACTTTCATGCCAAATTTTATCAAAATCAGACAAAAATTACTGAAGTTGTTATGTTCATGGACGTATATACATATAATATATTGGCTATACATATATAACAATTTGAACGAATAGTGTTTTGGGCCTCTAGGGACATCAAAATGGAAAAGTATATCGGTGCCGCAACTAAGTGTTACCTACGGTAATAGCTACTTCCCTATAGGAAAATTAGATAAAAGTGTGTCATGTTTAAACTTTTTTAAATTGACAACATTTTTGTAAGTATTAAAAATATACCTTTGCTTCACACAATCATAACCTCCGCAATTACTTAAAATACTTTTTATTTCCGTCAATACCCATATATTATACAGGGCAATTGCTGTTAAATTTTAAAGCTTTTTATTGCATAAAACCGAGTTTTAGATGTTACCGTTCCACGTACAGGATAATCTTAGTTAAATGATTACCTAATGTTTATGATCTCTGAAAGAAATCATATTGATTTTCAAAAGCCTATGTTGCTCTGTACGTATTTATAAGGTGTAGTACCATAGATAAAACATAGCCGTCAATGAGGTGTAAATAAACAATTTTACAAAACTACATTTTTGCAATGGTACAATGCAGAAACTTACACCATAGTCTACTAATTAGCCACCGTTGATATACCAAGATAAAATTGTATCCATTTTCAATTGTTCATCTTTTGTTGTTGTCAACGGTAACGTGCTCTGCAGTGGCCGTTGCCAACGTCAAAACCTGAATTCCCCGCGATTCCCTGTCCATCTAGCTGCGCTGCAACTTAGTCGCGACTATACTTAATCTACGACCATTTCAACTTAGGCGCGAGCTCCCAAGCCTGGTTTCTGGTCCGGGGCAAAAAGTTAGGCGCGTCCAACGCTAGGCGCGTACTAGCTGGGCTCGAGCTCCCAAACCGCCCCTAAAAGGCCTAAAAATTTTAACAGTTTATGGGCAGTTAATTTATGATTCAATCATCTTTGTAAAATCCAATCCTGAAAAAGTAACTTTAAACAATCAAACACACTCTTACAATACAAGAAGGGGGAATGAAATCCAGACTGATCAGCATCTATTATTTTTTTTTTTTTTTTAAGAAAACAACTTATAATTGATCAAAATTTTTTAAATACATACCAAGTTATATTAAAAATAACAACACTTTAAATTCATTTAAACGTACATTAAAAAGTTTCTTGACTGAAAGGGCTATTTACTCACTAGAGAATTTTTATAGAGGTGCTGGTGAGTTAATTTAATTTAATTTAGTCTATTTAGTGCTGATGTTTACAACCATTATATTATCAATGTACAACTGTATTATTAATTTTCTTTGATTACATTTTTTACTTTCTCCCCCTATACCATAGTATATGGAGAAAGTATTGTTTTCGTCAAAATTTTTGAGTTTGAGTTTTGAGTGGATATATTCGTTTTGGGTCCCCCTGGACCCAAAAAAGTGGTTTTCGAAGTGATGTATGTGTGTGTGTGTCTGGATGTGTACAGAGCTAGGGACTACACCTGTGGTCCGATTTCTATGAAATTTGGTACCTAGGTTCTAATCCACGGTATCTCCAGGCGTTTTTTTCATTTTGATTTTTAATGGGGATTTTCCCATAAAAACCCATAAAAAAACCGGAAAAATCAGATTTTCTCAAAAATGGCCCGAACGATTTTGAAAAAAATTAGTCAACATACTAATTATATATTCTGCCCTTTAAATTCTGAACAAAATGGTACAAATCCCATTTCTGTAAAAATTTTGGTTCAAAAGTTATTGTAAAATATGTTATTTTCACATAAAAAACCCCATAGGCTAAAACAAAAAAAATAGGATTTTAGAAAAAAATCTGGTTTTGATATAAAATAGTAGGCTATGTTATGGTCCTTACAATTTTGATAGTTTTTCATTTTTTAGAAATTTTTAATGGGGATTTTCCCATAAAACCCCATAAAATAACGGAAAAATATTATTTTCCTAAAAATAGCCTGAACGATTTGGATGAAAATTTAGTATGTTATAGTCCTTTATATTCTGAACAAAATGGTACAAATACAATTTCTTTAAAAATTACGGTTCAAAAGTTTTTGTAAATTATGTTATTTTTCCATAAAAACCCCATAAAATAACGGAAAAATCGGATTTTCCCAAAAATGGCCTGAATGATTTTGATAAAAATTTAGTATGTTATAGTCCTTTAAATTCTGAACAAAATTGTAAAAATCCTATTTCTGTATATTTACTCTTATGTTACAAATATTTTAAAATTTAATATAAGCTATTCATTTTGATACTATTCAATGTACCAAGCATGTACAGATTACGAATAAAATAATTTGATTTGATTTGATTTGATTTATTACAATCCCTTTCTGCTCATGATCGGAGGCACTAACTTGATCATCTCCAATGATCATATCATCTCCGGTGTTCACGGTAACATGATGATCATCTACTTGTTGTAAAGATCCGTCCCAAAACGGATGGGCTGCATCAGACCTTTGCTGATTACGGCAATCTTGTAATTTTGTTGGGCACAAACAATGTTCTGTACACTTTTGTTTATGAAAATACGGATAGCATTGATTTTGTTACTTATTTGAATGTTTGAAACACCGTGTGATGTACAACAATGAACTAATTTGTTAGATGAAATGTGAAGCGTTTATTTGTAAGAATAAAACAATTTCTTAATTGTATCTCTGTTCATGTAATTTGAGTCAAAACGTATCAAAATCCCGCTTATAGATATGGTCTACCACGCAACGCTCATAATCTACAATCTACAAATAAAATTAATACATCTGTGATCGCAATTATAGAGCGTTAATCAATTCAAAATGCCCCAAAACTATTCAATTACCACACCAAAAAATCGGAAATAGTGATTTCCCAAACATTTTGTATTTGAACATCACAAGCTAACGCTAAAACCACGGTTATCACTTTAATCAAATTGAATTGTAAATATACTGAAAATGTGTTATTGTAATGTCCTGCCCCTTGTTACCTGTTTGGTACTATTAGCCGGTCAGGTAGTAAAAACTACAGTTCCGGATTCAAAAATATTTTTAATCTTTGATCTCTTCCCGCAGCCTACTAACAATGCTCCTGCGATGGCTGGTATAGGGAAGTTGGCTAAAAACAATTTTAAAAATGTAAAGAGTTGAAAAAGTTTATATCTTGCCTAGTGTTTACATGAGTTTTTCAATGGTAAAATAGTATACTTTTACTATAGAAAGGTTTTTGTTTGACAGGAGGTATCAGGATGGCTGTGCGGCCCAGTTCCCCAGATGTATAGTCAAGTTTGGGCAAGTGTACAGTCAGCTAATGGTCTGGCAGACACTCCCCTCCTCTCCACTCTCCTCATGTCCAGTGGGCTCTCTACAGACACCCTAGGCTACATATGGTCACTGGCCAACCACACTGTGCCAGGAGCTCTCACACAACAAGAAGTACATCTAGTACTAGCTCTTGTAGCACTTACACAGGTTAGCGAGAGAGAGTTAGTGGTGGATTAAGCTATCCACAATTAAATTGGGGTCTAGCAACTTTAGGCAAATGTTTTTTGGTAGTGAGTAAAAATTAAAATATTAATGGTTTGGTCAAAATTAGTAAATTGGTTTCCTGAATGGCTTTATTAGACATTAAACTTGTTGCACATCCAAAAAAATATTTTATATTTTTTGTGTTATTTCAGTTTGGGTATAAAAAGACAATTTCAGTGTAAAGATAACCATGTTCAGCTGGTCATTGCATGATATGCATGCTGCTTCTGTCTGCCCAAGTCTGATATAATATCGAGTTACAATATATTAATTAGCCATTTAAGAGGATATATAGTGCTACAGTGCTTGATTTCTTTTGGAACTATCTATCAGGAGCTATGACCCCTACTCTCCAACATCCCCCTCACCGCTATCTCACTCATACTGTATCTTGCTCATGCTGTAGTTCCTCATACAATTCACCATTTTCCTCAGACTCAAATTGAACTCAAAAAATATACCTGTACTAAAAATGCCATTTTCTTCTATGCTCTTGCAGAGCTCTCGTGTCTGCATGTGGATTCTTTCTTTGATTTTCTAATCTGATTAAGAAGCAAAAGTGGTTGTCATCGGTGTGTACTTTATAAGTTAAGCAAACTTTACTTAAAAAATAATTAAGCGCCGAAATATACTTTTGCTTCAGCACACAATGAATAACTTTGTTTTTGAATTCTTCTGGTTAGTTAAAGTTCAATTAAACTAATCAATACTCCTATAGGCAAAAGGGATTAATACTTATATACCTCTTAATAAGTCTGTTTTACTGTCTTTTGTTTTATTTACAGTCTGGATATCACACGACAAACCTAGCTACAGTGTTGCAACTACCTCAGGCACCAATACCTGCCCTGGATTTATCATTGTTGTCAACCCCACAACAACAAAAACCAGTGTACCCAAGTCCTCTCAGTGTATCAGGTCTGCAAGACTCTCACACATATAGTTGGGTAGCCCCTGAAACCCAACCACCTAATGGAACTGATAATATTGGTGTATCTTATGTAAGCAGTGGACCCATGGTCAGTCAACAACTTTTAACTGGGACTGCTAACCTTTCCTTCACAGACTTTCAAACTACCAATGCTTGGGACATACACAGTAATACTAGTACCTCAACTACTTTACGGTCTTTGTCTAAAAATGCTCACTCAAAACATTCTGGTAATACTTTAAACTTTTCATTTCCCAGCCTAAATGAGTCTCCTAGTCATATTGCAGGTAGCAAGTCAGAGGGATCTGACCCATTTGATGATGAATTCACAGATTTTCAGAGTGCTGATTTCACTACAGTTAACAGCATAACATCTGAAGTCCATAACAATCTTGTAAAGGATGTTGTTGATGATGATGATGAGGAATTTAGTAATTTTCAAAAAGCCACACCTAAATCTAACGATGACCTTTCAGTGTTAGTTATAGATGGGAAAAATATACCTTCTGCTCAGACGCTGTGGGTAGCGGAAGATCTAGACCCAACTATAATTTATAACATTGAAGGTATGGAGTTAAAAAATACAGGGAGGATTCAAGATGCCAAAGAAACCAAACACCCACCTTCTGTGACACACACAATTGGAGATAAACTAGGGCAGAGTAAATATGATGTGTTTAAAGAGATGGATGATGGTCGTTTCAGTGTATTTCATAACCCTTTGCCAGATCATGAAGATAATCACAATGATTTAGGTGTTGATCAGATTGAAAGTTCACAGTTGGAAACTAAATCAATATCTAATCACTCTCTGTTTAGTGAACAAGAACAGTGTTTAGATTTTTTCAAGCCAGATCATCAATCTGTCAATAGTATGGATGACTTCAAATCAAACCCGAAGAGCCAAATAGACATTGATATTCCAAAACAAATTTATGTGGCCCACAACAACAATAATGATGGTGATGATGAAGAATTTTCAACCTTTCAAAACTTTCCAGTTACTTTTCCAGACCCTAACAGTCAGTCTCACATGGAGGAGGGTGATAAGTATGATATTTTCCGAACAATAGTGTTTGAAAATAACCTCGAACCACTAAGTCAAATGCCCAAGGCTGAAGAGGCAAAAAATGAAAATTATACTCAAGTTTCTTTATTTGAAACAGGAATGGATGGAAATCTACAAAATGATTCTAAAGAACATGAAGGTGATCTATTTGATGATTTTGTTTCAAAACCAAATAAAGATAATACATTTGCCAGTTTTCAAGAAAATTTGGCTACAAGACCTGATTCAAGTAACATTATTAATATATTTTCTTCTTTAGCTATATCAGATAAGACCTGCAGTTCAGAAACAAAAATGGATCCATCAACTGAAATAAAAAAAGTTGAGGATAAATACAAAGCATTGAGGCTCATAGAAGAAAGCTCAAATGAGATGGATGATTTTGGCGAATTTTTGGGAGCTGATGTTCCAAATGATGAAAATCAATTACCTATTTCAGAAAAACCATCTGTCCAGGTAAGAATCTTGTTCTCTGTTTGTCAAATTAAATGTCATGCCTTACAACCAAGAAAGTCGTAAGAAAGAATTTTGTAAAATCAGTTTTCATTTCTTTCATTCTTACTAGCTAAAGAATATGGTTTTTACTTTGTATCAAACCAAAACGTCTATATGCAACCAATTAAACAGCTAAGGGTTGTGGTTGACTCATGCTTTGAGGATTAGGTTTCAAACATGAACATGAAAATATCTAGCTATCTTTGACAGCTGGTTTAAGGTTTAAGGCCAGGCGTATGCTGAGACTCACGGGAGGCAACGCAATTAACACGTTTAACACAGCAGAAAAATGTTTCCTTACAGCGCCATGTAAGCTGAGACGCACGTGTGTATGTGTCTGGCAAATGTGTGGACCGGCATGTCACAAGTCAGTGCACAGACAGAGAACATCTGACACACACCACGTAACTTGTGTGTAAGATGGCAAAGATGCGCCTGATTGAGTGTGTACGCAAATTATCATATAAATGAGGCGTATAAAAGAAGGTGTGTGCACGCGCTTCCCCTCCCTCCAAGCACCCTTAGTGTGACTTAGTGTGCGAGGCTGTACAGCTGGGCAGTATGTTTTTTTTTATAAATTAAAGCAAAAGATTAAAATAGATGTTGGAGTTTTAGTTTTAACAATGGCTGACTAGGCATATCACAACAATTCTTATGTTTATTAAGCTTTTAGGGTTGTGGTGCCACTAAACTGTCTAACACAATAACCATGTGTTCTGTATTTATTTAATCATTTGTTTATTTTTTAGTTATCCTAGCAACCTAGGTAACAACAGTTTTAACAACAGTTTTTCTGATTTGAATCTAGTGGATTACACTACTTAACTATTCTCTGTAAATTAAATGACCTTTTACTAGAATGATTTGTTTTAGTGCGTCTATCCGCTAGAAATGGTGACCCCGACGTGATTTTGTTCTTGTCTTCCATTCAAATCTTGAAGTTGTCTTTGTAGGTTGGCATTCTCACTCTCTAATTGAGCTAGGCGCTCCAAAAGTTCTTGGTCCATGGCGTAAAACGATAATTTGGGGAAAGGTGAAAAATAAATTAAGTTTTGGTAGAAGGTTGAAATTTAATGTAGGAAAAACATCAATTTAGTTTGAAATAATTTACTTGTTAGTCGGGGTCACCATTTCTAGCGGATAGACGCACTAAAACAAATCATTCTAGTAAAAGGTCATTTAATTTACAGAGAATAGTTAAGTAGTGTAATCCACTAGATTCAAATCAGAAAAACTGTTGTTAAAACTGTTGTTACCTAGGTTGCTAGGATAACTAAAAAATAAACAAATGATTAAATAAATACAGAACACATGGTTATTGTGTTAGACAGTTTAGTGGCACCACATTAGCCCCCTGCGGTTTTTTTTTTTCTTGGCGACCGTGACAGGACCCGACTGACTATGTAGTTCGCTTACGTCGACACATGTCAAATTTAAGACCTGTGCCCACATCTTGGCATGATAAACCAAAGACTTTCGTTTTTCAGGAGTTAAAACGGTGTACTCACATATTTTTGCGAGATGACTCTGTTAGACGATCACTACAACCACCTTATACTGGACCGTTTCCCGTGGTATCTCGTGATGATAAAACTATGACTATAATCCATCGTGGTAAACGTGTGAAGGTGACGTTGGACAGAGTAAAGCCCGCGTATCTATTGCAAGATCTTACTCCTTCAACACATACACCCATCCACAATGAACATTCCAGAAATCCACCCTCCACAGTGTTCCCACTCAAGACCCTACTCTCAAGCCAACCCAAGCCTTACGTGACCCGATCTGGTCGTACTGTGAAATTTAAAGTGCCCGGTCTTCCAGACTCCGCAGGGGGCTAATGTGGTGCCACTAAACTGTCTAACACAATAACCATGTGTTCTGTATTTATTTAATCATTTGTTTATTTTTTAGTTATCCTAGCAACCTAGGTAACAACAGTTTTAACAACAGTTTTTCTGATTTGAATCTAGTGGATTACACTACTTAACTATTCTCTGTAAATTAAATGACCTCTTACTAGAATGATTTGTTTTAGTGCGTCTATCCGCTAGAATGTGGTGCCACTAAACTGTCTAACACAATAACCATGTGTTCTGTATTTATTTAATCATTTGTTTATTTTTTAGTTATCCTAGCAACCTAGGTAACAACAGTTTTAACAACAGTTTTTCTGATTTGAATCTAGTGGATTACACTACTTAACTATTCTCTGTAAATTAAATGACCTTTTACTAGAATGATTTGTTTTAGTGCGTCTATCCGCTAGAGGGTCTTGTGTTTCTCAATACGCCAAGTTTTGCCTGTATTGTAGATATTCTAAGCATATTATTATAAAAAAAACTGTAGTTTTAAGGGCTGACTTCATTTTAATATTATTTTAATATCAAAAGTCGTGGTAGTGGGCGTGAACCGTGTCAGTCGCGTAGTATCCCCTGGGAGTCGCATCGTTAGACCTCAAGGTATTCACCATTGAGGCGAGGACCCGTCTCACGAGCGTAGAGTCCGAATTCGGCGACAACCCAAGTATCTCCCGTACACTGTCGCGTTCCTCGAGGGCAGGATACAGGCCTAGCTTGTCCTTAGACGCGTATTCCGACACATAATTCGCGGACGGAATATTAAGAGTGTGTGGAGGGTCAACGGTCCAGTAGGGTAAGTACGGGGAATTGTGGAGAATAGCAATCGCCAAAAATTCCACAAAACTCTTCCTAAGTTCCTCTGTGGTTCCTGCCGTAGAAAGGCCGTACTGACTCATTTCATTCTGCAGCTCCTCTTTGCTCAGTCTATAAATCCACCTGACGCGCGGATCGTCAAAGTCAAAGTCAAAACATTCTTTATTCATTATAGTTTCACATTAAATGAACTTGAATAGAGTCATAAGCTAAATTCAAAATTGCTTACTGCTAATTAAATACATAAAAAAGAGTACTAAAATTACTTTACTTTTACTTTTAACAAAACCGTGACTTTAAGGATTACAGTTTTTGGAATTCAAATTAAGTTAGGCCTAACTGTTTTTTACTAATACTAAAGAATTCTGTTACTGAGTAGCAGGGAGTTCTTAAAAAATATTCTTTTAAGAGCTGTTTGAATTTATTAATTTTTTTTTCTTTTTGGATGTGAGCTGGTATAGACTGGAGAAATTTTAGCCCTATGTAAGATGTCTTTTTAGTGTAAAATTCGAGATTATGCCGAGGTAGGTTAATTTTTAATCTGGTGTTTCTGTTGAGATGGATGATAGTTGGATCTGTTTTGCATAAATTATTGTTTCATAAATATAAACTGTTAATATTTGTAATTCACAAAAGAAGCTCTTGACTGGCTCTTTCTTTTTAAGATTTTTCATCACCCTGATAGCTTTTTTCTGCTTAATTAGTACATTATCTAAATTAGTTTTTGTTGTTGCCCCGTATAGAACAATTCCATATGAAATATGTGAATGTATTAATGAGAAATAAACAATTCTTAGAGTGTCTAAACTGCATATTCTTAACATCTGTCGCAGAGCATGGATACCGGAAGATACCTTTTTTACCACATAATTTACATGGCCCTCCCAAGATAGATGTTTATTGATAGTTGGTCCAAGAAATTTTGTTTGCTTTACTTGGTTTATTCTTTCTCATTTTATGCAAATGTTTGGTTCAAAATTTTGTCTACGTTGTTTATTGGAAAATGATATAAAATTGGATATTTCTGTGTTCATAAGTAGATTTTTTTGGTCAAGGAATTCTTTAGTGGATAAAAGACTCTCCTGAGAAAACGTTTCAATCTGTTGTTTTGATCTTCCCGGAATTAGCACATTACAATCATCAGCAAACAGACACATAGACCCAGGGGTGTCAAAGATCATCAAAGGGTGTGCAAGGCACGGACGATTCCGTAGACACAACTGTCGTAGGAGCTTGTCGCTAATCGCAAGTGTTCAGTATAATATTTAGACCACTGACATAATACCCCAATAATCAATGTTTACAATCACAATATGTAAACAAAGTTCCGATAATATGTTAGCTTAATGATCGTTTGAATTAATTGTTACCGAGTAATACAATAATATGTCAATCAACAATATTACTATATCACTAACGTGTACGTAGACCGTCGTACTTAGGCTCAATCCAAAATATAATAATCCTGGGTTCTTACAATAAACAATGATAATACTTGTGTGTAGGCCTAACAATATTACTGTATTACAATGAAACAGGGGTACATGCTAATTGCTGCTAAATATTAGGACAACTAGAAATATAATAATATGTTAATCAACAATATTATTATAAAACTGTTATAATCCCAAATATTTAACGCACATCGGTTGCGTTACAAATATTATGCAATGCAATGAACGTAAATATTATGCAGAAATTGTCCACTAGAATTGAAAAAACTACGGGGAAACTCCAATAACAAACCGTTATCGAAAGAGCTGATCGGGCCGCTCTTATATCTTGCCCATTCGTACAGAGAACAATAGGCGAGCGGAACAATAGTGAACTAACAGGTCAATTATCCTTCTTAAAGCAGAACAATCCTTACAGAATTTTCGGAATTAAATCGAAAGGCGGTGTTATTTCCTGCTTAAATAATTTTAATCGGATAACAATAAATTATCAGAGGAAATGTATAAACACTGGTATAAATAAATGCGAGGTATAAACGGTTATGCTCGAATTCAATTCAATTCCAATAAATATCCTGTTATTTTACTACACAAACGTAGTTGGTTAACTGGGTGGACAACTGATCATTAGGTCTGCTTTTCTGGCCCTTTCAGTGTTGCCACCATGGACCTGTGAAAATTCCCCATCTGACTAAGAAAAAATCCCCATTTTATCCCCAGCTAAAGCAAAAATCCTCCAATAATCCACCAGTCATAAAAATCTATAGAAAGTCCCCAATTTTCCTCCATCCATCCTCCAAATTCTACAAAAATCCCATTTATCTACCAAATA